GGGTGATTTCTCACTTTCTGTCTCTAATGTCTCTCTCTGTCTGTCTGGCGAGCGCACACACCCTATAGTGAAAATCTCTCCAAAAAAAAAAAAAAAAAAAGAAGATACTGGGTACAGTCTCTATACTCATAAATTTATATATATATATAAACTTGTTTTATGGCCTACTATGTGATCGATCTTTGAAAATGTTCCATATGGAGATGAGGAAAAAGTATATTCTGTAGTTGCTAGACGGAATACTCTATGTCCGTCAGGCCTATTTGGTTCATGGTATCCATTAATTCCTGTATCTCTGTTTATTTTTTGTCCAGATGACCTGTCCGGTGATGACAGTGGAGTACTGACACCTCCCACCATTAGTGCATTGAAGTCTACATCTCCCTTTAGACGCAGCAGTCTTTCTTTTACTTATTTAGATGCCCTGGCATTAGGTGCATAAATATTTATTATTTGTTATATCTTCTTGAAAAATTATCTTTTGAATGATGAAATATGCTCCTTTGTCTCTTCTTATGGTTTTTATTCTAAAGTCTATTTTATCTGCTGTTATCATCGCAACTCCTGCCTTTTTATCATTTCTGTTTGCATGAGATAACTTTTTCCAGTCCTTCACTTTCAGTCTCTATGTATCTTTGTCAATAAGCTGTATTTCTTACAGGCAACATATAGGGGGTTCCAGGTTTTTCATCTGTTGAGCCAATTGGTATGTTTTAGTTGGAGAATGTAATCCATGAACATTAAAGGCAACTGCTGATGTTTACGGTCTTAGTCCTGCCATTTTCTCTCTTTTTTCCTACTTGTTTTGTGTCATCTTGCGTCTACTTATCTCCCTTTAGTTTTCCAGGTGTAAAGCTCCCTTAAGTATTTCCTGAAGGGCTGGCCTACTTTCAGTAAATCCTTTCAACTTTCGTTTATCTGGAACAATTTAATTTTCCCTTCCCATTTAAAGGGTAATTCTGTCAGGTACAGTATTCTTGGCTGAAATTATTTTTCCTTTGAGAACTTAAAATATATCATCCATTTTTTTCTTGCCTGCATTGTTTCAGTTGAGAGGTCTACCATTAGTCTGATGAGATAACTTCTCAACAACCTGGCATTTCTCCCTTGTCATTTTTAGAATATTACCTTTGTCTTGAAGTTTTATTATTTTGGCTATGATATGCCTTGGGGAAGATCTTCAATACTGAATAAATTTCACTCACATGTACTTTTCAAAGTTTCCTCTGGTGAATAAAGCTGTCTTAGGTAAGTCCAGGTTCTGTGATGAAGCAGGAAGTATTAGTATTGACAGCCTCAGGCAGTTTTGAAGGCAAAGGTCCGCAAATTCTCTCAATAGCAGTTACAGTTCTCCTTCTGTATCTGTGGCTTCCACATCCGTGGATTTGGCCAAACACATGGATTAAACCAAACGTGAATTGGAAAAATAAATGAAAGGGGTTGGCCCCTTGTGATTAAGGGAGCTGAATCCCATGTGGCCAATTATGGTTCTAATCCCAGTCCCAGCCCCAGAGGCTTGAAGACATGCGTGCATGCCCCAAATCCTGACAAGAAGGAGAAATGTAGAAGGGACTGTGGCATCACTGTGCTCCACTGGAGAGTGCTCTCTTCCTCTCCCCCTCTCTGGTAATTAATTTTTTTTTTAATAAAAAAAAAAACAAAAACAAAAAACAGGGACCAGCAGTTGGCGCAATGGCTACGTCGCTGGACTCCCATGTAGTCGACCACCGTTCGAGTCCCGGACCCCGTGGCTTAAACTCATGCTGTGTGCATGTTCGTGTGTGCCCAAGATCTTAAGAGGAGAATGGAGGAGAAGGGATTGCAGCGTGGCCATCTCCCCAGGGGGTGATTTCTCGTTTTCTGTCTCTCTGTCTCTCTCTGTCTTTCTGACGAGCACACATGCCCTATAGCAAAAATATCTCACCCCCCAAAAAAAGTGTGTGTGTGTGTGTGTGTATATATATATGTATATACTGTATATATATATGTATTTATATATGTGTATATATATATATATACACACATCTATATAAATACCTGTGTGTGTGTGTGTATATATATATATATATATATAGTTGGATTGTCAGAAGAGTCATGACACATTTTTGCACAGAAAAACATGTCATGACTTTCCGACCACCTAATACCACTATTTTTTTAAGACAGAGTCTCGCTGTGTCATGGTCCTCGTGCCTTAGCCTCCCAGCTGGTGCTGCAGACACTTGCTACCACAACCGGCTCTTTTTCACATAGCATCTTGCTATGTCACCTAGGCTAGCCTCAAGCTCACAATCCTCCTGCTTCAGACGACTGAGTTTCTAGGATTTCGGCCACACACTTTCACATCTAGTCTATAAGATGGACCAGGAATTGAACCTGGGCCTACCATATGGCCCTAATCTGTAGATCATCATGTCTTACCAACACGTGCACTGTGGCTGGACCAAAAAGTGCACTTACTTGATTTAAATTAAAAAGCTCATATTGATTATCATTATTCTTTCTGGAGTTTGTTAATTCTAGTTTTAGCTAACTGCTTCTTTGCTTTCAAAGGATTTGGTTAGATGTAATCTTAGACTGGATTAGTAAAATTCAAAGCCTTCTTTTAAAGCTGGATATATTACCTTCGGGAAGAAAAAAATTTAGACTTATACTCATCAGCCTATATCACTGTATTTAAATACCGAGGAATACATTGGGTTGTCAGAAAAGTCATGATGTGTTTTTCTGGCTTTCTATGCAAAAACGCATCATGATGTTCCCACAACCCAACACTTCATACCAGACCGAGATTGACCCTGATGTCGAGTTCGTGTTTATTAAAGTGCTTCAGCCTATCCTGAGATGATGGCTGGAGTAGGTCTCCTGATCAAAATGAGTGTTTCTATCTTTTGTTTCCTTTGCTTATTCTATGATTACCTCATTGTAATTCCCTTTTATGAAAACGTTGCACTGTACTCAATGAAAACCTGTTTAAAGGATGTTTTTGAATAGCTCGTGCATCTCAACTGCCTTGACCTTGCTCCAAGGGGATGCTTAACAGAATCTGGAGACACTTTTGGTTGTCCTGACTGAAGGGCGTGCTAGGGACATCTAGGAAGTATTAACAAAAACCAGGGAGGCTGAACAGCTGGCAGGGCACAGGACAGACCCCACAATGACAGAGTCTCAGGCCTTAGATGGCAGTAGTGCCTGGGTTGAGAATCTCTGGGGAAACTTCAAGACAGTATACCTATTTTTCACATTTCATAGTAACTTTTAAAAAACTTTTATTTATTCATTATTTTTAATTTGATCAGAGAGAGACACACAGAGACACAACATGTAGGGCTTCTTGAGTGTCTTCTTGCCACTCACTCTGGATAATCGTAATAAACCAGCTAGGCAGATTCACCTACAGTGGTAAAACTTCAATTAAAATTAATGTAAAGAGAAGGAAAGTGAGAAAAGAAACCACCAGGTCCAGGACTTGAACTGTGGTTGGCCATGTGGGAGTGTCCAGCACCTTAACCACCACGTCGCCTGCTGGTCCCCCAAAGTGACTTTTAACTAAGTGACTAATTCTCAAGTATTAGAGAGTAACAAAATACAGAAAAATATTCAACTATGGTAATTAACTTGCCCTGAATTTTAAATACCTGGGGAAGACTAATTCAGGATGTCTACAAAATAGTAGTGCCTGGGTTGAGAATCTCTGGGGAAACTTCAAGACAGTATACCTATTTTTCACATTTCATAGTAACTTTTAAAAAACTTTTATTTATTCATTATTTTTAATTTGATCAGAGAGAGACACACAGAGACACAACATGTAGGGCTTCTTGAGTGTCTTCTTGCCACTCACTCTGGATAATCGTAATAAACCAGCTAGGCAGATTCACCTACAGTGGTAAAACTTCAATTAAAATTAATGTAAAGAGAAGGAAAGTGAGAAAAGAAACCACCAGGTCCAGGACTTGAACTGTGGTTGGCCATGTGGGAGTGTCCAGCACCTTAACCACCACGTCGCCTGCTGGTCCCCCAAAGTGACTTTTAACTAAGTGACTAATTCTCAAGTATTAGAGAGTAACAAAATACAGAAAAATATTCAACTATGGTAATTAACTTGCCCTGAATTTTAAATACCTGGGGAAGACTAATTCAGGATGTCTACAAAATACTATTTTAAAATGTGTAAAATCTATAGGTATATAGGGCAATAGTACTTTGATAATGCTCTTCTAGGGTTAAAATAGAGATAGTCTGTAAGCAAATAATTATAGATGATGTGATTATTAGGCTTGACATAATTTACAATCTTTTACATAGTTTAAAAAAAAAATCAAGAAACATCTCCTGAAAACTCATTCACTGTTAAAGACAACATGTAGGGCTTCTCGAGTGTCTTCTTACCACTCATTCTGGATAATCGTAATAGACCAGCTAGGCAGATTCACCTAAAGTGCTAAAACTTCATTTAAAATTAATGTAAAATGTGGCTGCGTTTTCCTCAGATTATCTCACTATTCCACAGTAAGTTCTCCAGCAGCAACGCGGTAACAGCACCAGGCTGTACCGGACACACAGCCCTGCTGACGCCTCTCCGAGCATCACTTCTGTCTGCAGGAGCGAGGTCTCACACTCGCGCCACAGAAGCCACTTCCTCGTCCAGTTGAAGCTTAGACACTGACCTTTGCAACAAGAGACCTTTCTCCTGTTTCCACGCCCTCATTTGAGAGATTTTTGCAACTTCTGGGTCTCTGGTCACGTCATGCCCCACATTTAAAAGCAACTCTCAATGAACACCCTGCCTTTTCTCTTACAACTGACTTTAAAAACAGTCTTTAGCAAGCTTAACATGTGAATTCCTTGTTAATACCCAACAGAAATGCCACACAAAACCACCAAAACTACCTTGTTTATGCTTTCTGGGCATGGCAATGCAATGATGCACAAGCGTTCACAAATGCCTCTGCTCTCAGTAAAGCCAGCCACATCTAGCAGGACGAGGTGAGACATACCTGGTTGTTGCTGTTGGCAGCTGACGAATTGGCCTGAGCTGTGCTTGCTGAGAGGGAATCGAGGAAGGCTTGGTCAGCCACTGAATTGCCACAGGAGAACTGATCTTTTCCTTCATTGGGTAAAATCTAAATATTAGAAAGAACCACAGTTATTTTCACAAACTAGAGCGACGGTCTCTAAGGGCAAGTACCCATGATGGAAAGGAGGTTTACAGTCTGCAATGCTATAAATTTCCCTCTAAGCACTGCATTTGCTGCATTCCACACATTTTGCTGAGTTATATTTTATTTAGCTCAGACTATTTTTAATTTCTTTTGAGATCCATGTGTTATTTAGAAGTGTGCTGTTTATTTTTTGATCCACATGTTTAGAAGTATGCTATTTATTCTCCAAGAACTTTGAGATTTTCCAGCTATCTTTCTGTTGCTGATTTCTAGTTTGGTCCCATTGTAATCTAAAAGCAGACACTATGTGAGTTCTCTCATCTTCTAAACATGTATGTCAATGGCTCAGGATGTGGCGTACACCATGGGAGCTTGTGGAGCATGAGCGTCCTGTGCTGTCTGATGGAGTGGTCTGTGACGCCCATGCATCCAGCAGGCTGATGGTGCTGCTGAGCTCAATTATGTTCTTACTGATTTTCTGCCTGTCGGATCTGCCGAATTCTTTCTTTCTTTCTTTCTTTCTTTCTTTCTTTTTTTTTTTTGCTCAGATTGACATTTCATTCTTTTTTTAAATTTGTTTTATTTTATTTTTGAGGTTTGTGCTATAGGGCACGTGCGCTCACCAGACAGAGAGCAAAAAATCGCCCCCCAGGGGGGATGGCCACGCCACAATCCCTTCTCCTCCATTCTCCTCTCAGGATCTTGGGCACATACGCACACGTGCCCGGCGTGAGTTTTAAGCCACCGGATCTGGGACGCGAACCACGGTCGACTACGTGGGAGTCCAGCAACATAACCATTACGCTAACTGCTGGTCCCTTATTTTCTTTTATTATTTTTTTTCATTTCATTTTCTTCTATACATTCAATCACATTATTATTTGTCTTACAAAATAGATCTGCCCATTTCTGAGAGAAGGGGCTCAGGTTCTTATATGATAAGCAAGCCCAAGAACGTCTGTAGTGACTATTCCTTTCTGTAAGTAAACAGAATTCTAGGAAATGCAATAAATACCAACATCAACTTAATTCTCAATCTTGTCAACGTTTACAATCCTGGATGCACAATACAGAGCTAACACAGGATGTGAATGTAGAACTGGGGACTGAGTGCAGGGCCCTCTGACTCCGCTAAAACGGAAGGGAGAAGGCTGAGGTGTATGAGCATGTGCACACGTTTCCAAAGGACTGCCTCCAGGTCACGTCAGATTCTCCAGCAGGTTCGTGACTGCCTACCCTTCACTCAAGATCAAAAACAGCAAACAACAACCTTCCCTCCCATTTGGTAGTTACAGGGAGGCACCCTCCAGGGCGTTCTTCTCCTCCCTGGAGGTAAACCAAAGGTACTTGTAGCTTTATCTACCTCCAATTTTACCCACAAGGCACCAGGCAAATTTAGTGTCTTTTCATCACTCAAGAAGAGAAACAAACTAAGTACCTGTACTTGCATTGGCATGACCTATAGAAAACCAGCAGGGGGCACCAAGTTGCTGGTTCAAGAGGGTTTTGTCAGCTGAGTGGGTGTGTCCCAGGCAGGGAGAGGTCATTCCAGGGGTTGCTCTACACCATCCTCCGTACCCACTGTAATATAGCTTAACCCAGGCAACTGCCGCAGCAGTTCATTCAGAGTCCCTGTCTACTGGGATGTGAGAAGGAACTGAGAAGGCATGTACTTAAAAAAAAAAAACTATTCAAATGTTGTGAATCAATTTTACAACAGTGGTGTAAGCTGCCATCATTACACAATATTATCAACAGAACATTAACAGGTTTTATTGAAGAATTAAAATTTAATGTCCTTGGAAAGAAGTTTGTCTAGATATTTATAGTTGTTTTTTGGAGCTTGGTCTACAGATAATATTTTTCCTTAGTTCTACTTTTATGTATTTTCCATATTTATATCATTAGCATTTATTATTTTTACAACAGAAATTTAATTCAAATAAAAACAACTGTACTCTTCCAGTCTATCCTTCAAACTGATCACTCATATAAAGATGCTTGACAAAGATCAACTTTAATTAATAAACCAAAGTTCTTACTTCAACATAGTCTGTAGGGACAAGCCCTCGTTCTCCTTTGCTGTTTCTTCCTTCCAGCCATCCTCCACCAACATCCTAGTAAAGTTGCCAAAAAAGAAAAGAAAAACAAAAATATTATAGTTGGAATTTCCTATAGATATTTGGCTTTGGAAATCAACTATGTATAATTAAAATGAAAACCTTCTATTCAAAATTATAAATTCTATCATTCAAAACTATAAAGTTTTAAGCATTCTCCTTACTCTAGAAAATGGCGTGATCTACAAACAAGAAAAGCCAAACTTCAACAAGAAGTGATCCAGGACTGCAAAGTCACCTCTTACTAGCAATAGAGTACCACTGTTTTGAAACTGCTCTCTCACTGCTGGTGGCAGGGGACGGGAGTGTGTGCAGCTCTCCGTGTTGAGCAGAGGAATGCGGGTCTCCGGGCCTGGAATCTGTACTGCTCCCTGTGACCTCTCCGGCCAACACAGTGAGGTGCAAATAATCCAGGGGTCTTAAGAGCCTGGTCTCAAGGGGCTTTGCTCACTTCAGCTTGCTCTTTCAAAGCCTCAAAAGTACTGTCCACATAGTACTATTTCACCAGATGATAACCAAGACAAGATTCAAACTCCCTATTGCTCCACCCAAACACAGGAATGTGGCCCTAGGCCTTTCAGGCCCGGCCAGGCACCAGGTGACTACAGTAGCCACCTGAGCACACAGCACAGCAGAACCACCTAGCTCCTTGCAGGTTCCTGAGCAATAACAAATGGCTACTGGTTTAAACCACCAAGCTTTGGGATCGTATGCAATGTAGGGAGAGCTGCTTTCCTAGTTCTGGATGAATAAAATGAATAAACTAAATAATAAAGTGGAACACTAGTCCAGGATTCCCATTTTTCAATCTATTGTCTTGAGGAAGTCCCATTTCTTTCCCCTTAAAATAGTCAGAGTTTCCTTAAGTTTGCATATCGTGTCCTCATTAATTATTTCATGATAATCCTACTCCAGATATCGATATTCTCTTAGTCATTTCAAGCCACAACTTTGCCACTTTCGAACCACAAGAGCAACTTGAAGGTAGTGCTTTACAAAAAAGGTAAATATTTGATTTTGAAAAATGAGGTAGACAATAGAATATATATATATTTTTTAAATTTTTAGTTGTTTTGTCATAGGGCATGTGCACTTGCCGGAGAGGAGAGACACGGAGAGAGAGGGAAAGTGAGAAATCACCCCCCAGGGGAGATGACCATTCCACAATCCTTTCTCCTCCCTCCTCCTCTTGTGATTTTTAGCACACATGCCCACGTGCCCAGTGTGATTTTCAACCCACTGGGTCCAGGAATCAAACCACAGTTGGCTATGTGGGAGTCCAGTGCCTTAACCGCTGTACCACCTGCTGGCCCCGACAAAAGAACATTTAATCTCTCCTGGATTAGAAATGGAACCTATTTACTTATATATACCCAACATAATTTTCAAAATTACTACGTATATTGGGTCATTGGGAAAATCATGACACATTTTTGCATAGAAAACATAGAAAAATACATCATGCCTTTCCTGATGATCTAATACTTTTTTTTTCTTTTTTTTAAGGGAGTTTTTTTTTTTTTTTTTTTTTTTAATTTTTTGTGTGTGTTTCAGTCCTTATCTCTAGGAGTTCTGTTAGAGACAGAGAGACAGAAAGCAAAAAATCCCTCCCCAAGGTAATGGCCACACCACAATCCCACCTCCTCCATTCTCCTCTTGGGACTTCAGGCATGCACGCACATGCACCTAGTGTGGGTTTTAGCTGCCAGGTCTGGGACTTGAACCATAGTCGACTACATGGGAGTCCAATGATGTAACCATTACACCATCTGCTGGTCACAACCTAGTGCTTTCTCTATCTAGTAATTTTTGTGTGTGACAAAGATACATAAAACAAAGTACTCTCATTGCTAAGAAACTACCATCACCTCTGCCATGTCTTCTCCCTCCTTGATTCTGTGCTGCCCCCTCCCCTACGCTCTCCTGCCTCTTGGTGGGACATACCTGCATTCCTACTCCCATCTCCAGGCCCCTTCTAGATTTGCTCACTTTTTCCTTTTTTTTTTTTTTAAATTGCCAGAGAGTGTATGTGCTCATTGAGGGGAGAAAGCATCCCCAATGGGGTATGGTCACACCACAATCCTTTTTCCTCCATTTCTGCATCCGGCTACGATTTGGGGTGCACATGCACACACACGGCATGTTTTTTCAAGCCACCCAGGCTGAGGCTTAAAGCACAGCTGGCCATGTGAGATCTAGCTCCCTTCCCCACTGGGCTATGGGGCTGGCCTGATCTGTTTATGCTTAAAGATGGCCAGAGAGTTACCCAGCTCCAGTCCAATCTCTGGCTCAGATCCCAGTTTTTAGCTGATGAAAAGCTACAGGGCAGGGTCAACTATTTATTACTGCGTCCACTCAACTAATCCTTCCTGCATTTTCTCATCCCTCCGTCAGGTACAAAGGCCATTCACCTCAGTGACCGCTGACCATTCTCACCAATAGCTACTTAGCCAACAAGTCCTATGGGTCTGACTCTCCATGCCTCTTGTATCCACCTTCTTTAAACTCCTATTGCTGCCAGCCCACGTCACGTCGCTACAGTCCAAACACGCCACACATTTGACACACTCTGCTAGATCAATTTCCTCAAGCGGCAGATTTCACATGTCACTACAACAATATCAACAGTAAAGCCCCAAACGGAAGCCCTGGCAGGAATCCACTGCTTACCAAAGGAGACGAGAGTCTCCAGCCTGGCCACAGGTGCTGTCTGACCTGGCTCTACGAGCCAGTGTTCCTAGCCTGTGTCCTGCTGGAGTTCACACACCCTGAACTGCAGGGCCACTTGGTTGCATGTAATGATCCTGGGCACAGAAGGGAAAGCAGAGGCTTCCAAGGCCAAACATGTGGCTCTGACGCCTTGTTCTGCCACTTCAAGGAGGATGATCTTGGGCAAGTCACTTCAACTCTCTGAATCTCATTAGCCTCACTTGTAAAACAGAAATAAAAACACCTCCCTCTCAGAGTTCACAGGGAAATACGTGGAAGACTATACGCATCACACTCAAGGAAACACCTAGCTGTCAACAAGGGAGCTGACTAGACACTTTCAAGTCTCTGCATCTCTGATCTGACTGTTCTGTCTGGGCTTTCTTTCCATTTCTGTCTGATGAAACCCCATCCACACTTTAACATCTACCGCGTCATAGCTCATCTTCTGACTAAAGCCTGTTCTGATGGAAACACAAACGTGAATAGGCTCCACCTCTGCTGAACTGCCGACAACTTGTCCAAATTTTGATACTTTCTTTGTATATGGCCTGAGCTTCTCCCTTACATCACCGCTTCCTACAGAGAAGAGCAAAAGACCTGCTCTATCTTCATGCTACTCCTCAGAACACCTAATACATACGCTCATCTGCGGCAGGTGCCAGTAAAACGTTACTGATGAAAAAGTTCTGGATGAATCTTAAGCCTACAATGCTTTCATTTTAAAGAATAAGAGGAAAATGAATAAATGTATTTTAAAATACATACTCCCAGAGAATAAAACTAGGAAATGTGAAATAAATTAATAAAACCAATGGTTACAGAAAATGTGATCTTCTGTATGACTGTCAAAACCTGGGATTGAGGGCATCTAATATTGCTTGCTGACACTCGCACACCATGCACTGCTTAAAAACAGGGATGTGTCCTGAGAAGCTGGACGTTGGGTGCTTTGGTCATTATGGGAACATCACAGGATGGACTTACACAACCTAAATGGTGCAGCCAGCTCCTGCTCCACTCTAGACCAAACGGCACAGTCTCATCTGATGAGCTCATCATTGTATGTGTTCTGTCTATCACCAAAACATCGGTATGTGCAAGGATTTACTCCAGCGAGTTGTTAGGCTACAAGAAAATGTTCGACAAGGTCTATGTGGCTATATTAGGCTAATGGACTATTTGACAACATTAAGGAATTATTAATTTTGTCAGGTGAGATAAAATAGTATTATCATTATGTCTAAAAAACAAACCTGTTTCTTAGAGACACATAGTGACATATTCATGGATGAAATGATACAATGGCATTTACTTCAAAATAAGCAAGTGTTACAGGGGAGGGAAGCTGGAGAACAGCTGGGCATACGGGTGACACAGACGGCCATGGGCTGATAATCATGAAGGTGGATGACGAGATGGTGGGTACGAAGGTGTTCATTAATACCCTTTCTCCTGGGACCAGCAGATGGGTAATGGTTATGTTGCTTGACTCCCACATATCCAACAATGGTTCAAGTCCCAGACCCAGGGGCTTAAAACTCAAGCCAGGCACATGTGTGTGATTTAGGAGAAAAAGGAAACTGAATATATATTTTTAGAATACATACTCCCAGAGAATAAAACTAGGAAATGTGAAATGAATTAATAAAATGGTTGTGTGTGCCCAAGATCCTGAAAGAAGAATGGAGAAGGTTTTATGGCCTGGCCATCCCCATGGATGGGTGATTTCTCACTTTCTGTCTCTCTCTCTCTGTCTCTCCAGAGAGCATATGTGCCCTATAGCAAAAATCACTCTTAAAAAAAAATACTATCTCCTTTGGGAAGAAAATTTATAAAACTAAAAAAAAAAAAAAAATTTTGTAAGAGAGATTTTTGCTACAGGACACGTGTGCTCACCAGAGGGACAGAGAGGCAGAAAGCAAGAAACCACACCCCATTCTCCCCCATTCTCCTTTTGGGATTTTGGGCATGCATGCACACGCGCCCAGCTTGAGTTTTAAGCCACCAGGTCCAGGACTCAAACCACAGTCAACTAAGTGGGAGTCCAGTGATGCGACCATTACACACCAACTGCGGGACTCAGGAGAAGAGGTGGAGAACAGGGGTTGGTGACAACAGGTTAAAGTTTTGCTAAGCTTAGAACTACAAGACTAATTCTCCATATCTGCTTTTGTTCCTTCTCAGCCTTGAATGAAGTACTAGTACGTGAGATAATGTTTCTTAAAACTATTCCAAGTGAGATTCAACTCAAAATTTGCTATATACTTTAAAGGTCACAATAGTTACATACAAAAAAGGGACAATCACACATATCGCGGCAAATATCACACAAGTAATGGCAAAAACTGTAACAGGTTCAGGCTAAGGTGATTTGAAAATTAATATTATGATTGCCTTTGAGCTTCCTGGCAACCAAGATCATAAAAGAAGTTCAATGGTCTAAAAGATTTTACTTTATGAAAGAAAACCTGCCAAATCTTAAAGAGAAAGAACCTGAGGAAAAAAGTCGCAGGGAAGTTTATCAGAGACAGCTGTAACATCCCTAATTATATAAGCAGAGCTACATCTATGTATGGGGGGGAGAGGTGAAGCACTTGGTGTATGTGTCTGTATGTGTAAATGTATATGCATACATGTTTAAGTATGGTTTGGTGAAGATGCAGAAATGCTAGTTATATAGTTGTTTCTTATTCCAATAAAAGCTGAAGCAATAAATTAAAATCTAGAAAAGGTAACTCTCTTGGGAGCAAAGCTAATACAGCCTAAGTATATACTGCTTTCTGGCAATCTAATCTGATTTCAGGATAAGCTTAGAAAAGCAATTGCAGCAATCAATAAGCTAAGACATTTAGGAAGATTAGCACCGTCTGCTGTTCGCTCTCGAGACTGGGTATCGCCGTGCCAGGAGAAAGCATGCTCAACTACAGAACATCTATAGGGTGCCTGAAGGTTATACGAGTAATAAAGAGAAAATGATAAATGAACATACTGAAAAGATACAGAGCCGGCCCATGGCATGGTGAAGGCACCTGGACCCCATGGCCAACAGTGCCGTGTGAGTCCTGAACCCAGCAGATGGAAAAACATGCCAAGTGTGTAGACGTGCATGCCCAAAATCCCGAAAGAAGGGAGAAATGGAGAAAGGACTGCAGTGTGACCATCCCTCCCCCGTCCCACCCCCCAGGGAAGGGGTGCTTTCTCACTTTCCCATTCTCGGTTTCTCTCTGGTGAGCAATTGAGCCCTCTGGCAAAATTTAAAAAACAAAAACAACAACAGATATAAGCACAGTTCTCTTACCGGATTTGTAATTGTGATGATTTCTCCTTCATTAACCGTCAGTTCATTATTTCCAGGTTCTGCAGCAAAATCATACATAACCCGAGCCTATTGGGAGTGGAGAGCAAAGAGTAAGTTACAAATGTCAACGAAACCATGAAAAAGCCGCACGACCTTCACCGTTTACTTTGTGAACACCTGGTACGAGCATGGCAGTGGCTGTGGTTGCTTCGGGGAAAAGAGCAGACATGTCACCAAAATGACTCACCAGCTCTAGTGTCAGGAAGGACAGCGATGGCAGCGATGGCCCCTTTCTGCTTTGGAAGCGGGGAAGGTTTCTGGCAGCTGCTCGTGCTGCGTTTAGAGATCAGCCCGACAAAAATTCCAAATGCACCCATTTCACTGAGAAACAAATAAAGCAAGCCCTTCCTTTCAGGAGGTAAGGGGTGGGAACACAGATACTGTTCATTCTGGAAACGCCTGCTCTCAGGACCTGAAGATACCCCCCACACACACACAGATACACACACACACACACACACACACACACACAGATACACACACACACACGCACACGCAGATCCACACACCTTTAGGAGAACCCCTTGCTATTAAAACTCTACTCCTGGGACCAGCAGTTAGCGTAATGGCTATGTCGCTGGACTCCCACGTAGTCGACCGCGGGTCGCGTCCCGGACCCGGTGGCTTAAAACTCACGCCGGGCGTGTGTGCGTGTGTGCCTAGGATCCTGAGAGGAGAATGGAGGAGAAGGGATTGCGGCGTGACCATCCCCCTTGGGGGGGTGATTTCTCGCTTTCTGTCTCTATGTCTGTCTCTATGTCTGTCTCTGTCTGTCTGGCGAGCACACGTGCCCTATAGCGAAAACCTCTCCAAAAAAAGAAGAAAAAAAAAAACAACAACAACAAAAAACTCTACTCCTTATCTACAGTCAGCCACTAGAACCACAATACAGCCCAGCCACATTAACTCAGAAATGAAAGGTACAGGTACGTTCTTGTACTATAAAACTTCCTTTTGTATTGACTTACACAGGGCTGCATGGGCTGCTCAGGCTACGTGGGCAGTCATGATAGTCAAGCGTTTCCCTGAAATGAAATCTTCATTTCAAATGAAACATACTAAAGGGAAGCTGTTCTGGTTGGCGCAAGAAAGGGCCACTCTTTCAGCCTCTTCCTTGAGAGGATCTTTGAGATAGCAATACGGAAAGTGGATTCCTTGGAAGACTGCTATACGGGTACTCCGAGAGAGAGCGCCCCTGTTTAAAATATACACACACATATATAACATACTTCATATATAGATTTATAGTAAATAAACACATTTTAAAATCCATTTCAAATTCTAAGTAACTGTCTTTCATAGCCTATCTTCCAGAAGTTCCACCTGATAAGCGGAGGTCACATGTGCGTAGGAAACACATGGTATATTTTAAAACCACTACTCCTAAGAGGCAAACGTGAGGCTGTCGACAAGGCTAGTCAAAGGACTGGCGGAGCTGCACTCGCTGGACGAAGCTCTACTGCACACCCACCACGTGGAGGACCCTGCTTGGTCCTTTGGGCACTTCTGCCCTTTCTCTGTATTCGCTTAATGGTGCCTGGAATTTTTAAACCAGGATTAGGGATTCACATTGTTTCCTGATAAAAAGACTAGGGACAAAAACTACAATAACATTTTGAAATATACTGAAAATTACAGGATACTACAGGACCAAGCAGGTAGTATAAGATGTTATTTATAGCATCTAAATGGTGGGCTTATAGGGTTTGATGGAAAATGATTCCAAGTTTTCTACATGTCTGAACTTTTTCCTAATAAAACTGTGGAAAGAAATAATGGTAGTGTAGAGACTTGGTTAAGAAATGTCAGTTCCCAGAACCAGCTGTTAGCGTAATGGCTATGTCGCTGGACTCCCATGTAGCTGACTGCGGTTCGAGTCCCAGACCCAGTGGTTTAAACTCACACTGGGTGCGTGTGTGCCCGAGATTTCGAGAGGAGAATGGAGGAGAAGGGATTGCGGCATGGCCATTCCCCTGGGGGGTGATTTCTCGCTTTCTGTCTCTCTGTCTTTTTGGCGAGTGCACACGCCCTATAGCAAAACAAAACAAAACAAAAAACTTCTCAAAAAAAAAAAAGAAAAAGAAATATCAGTTCCTTCTCTTGTGAACCATGAGAAGTGGGAGGCTGGGAAGGGGACCCAGGGACAGACTGCAGGCAGAGCAAGCTTTGTCGGAACCACTGTCTTCCTTAGGCCACTGTGAAGGACGAAGGAATGAGGCTGCAGTATTTTCCTCGCCCAGCTGCTGAAGTAGATAGAACTCCGAGTGTCATGTCATGGGGGATTTTTTTAAAAAAGCATGTCACATCAACTTCAATCCTTCCTGCAATTCGGGCAGCTAGGAGATAAAAGCGTGAAGCTACTGGGCTGGACAGAGGAGGGAACCCCTGGAGAGGAGCCTGGTGTGCTAGCCCAGAGCCTCGCTGGTGGTGTGTGGAACCTGCTATTTTGTTGTTGTTACTTAAGAATCGTGCCTAACTTTTTAAAAAAATCCAGCAAAGTCCAATCGTCTCCAGATATAGAATACCTAAGCTTCTTGTGTACTAAACTTGCTAGTGACATAGAATATGAAATAAATCAGAAGTTTTTAAATGGAAACTCCCCTGTACATTTAAATATTAATGAACATTCATTTACTGCTATGGTCTGAATACCGTTTCCTTCCAAACTCAAGAACACACTTAATCTTCAATGCAGCAGAAGTGGGGCTACAGGTGTTGGGTCATGAGGGTCCGCCCTTGTGAAGGTATTAATGTTGCTAGCAAAGGGCCCCGGGAGTGGGTGTGCACGCTCTTCTGCCCTCCTGCCACAGAAAGACACAACTCTCTCCTCCAGAGGATAAGCATTCAAGGCACCATCTTGGAAAGAGAGGAGGACCCTAACCTGCCCAAGACTTGATCTTGAACTTTCCAGCTTCCAGAACTGAGAGGGAGTAATATCTCTGTTCTTCATAAATTATCCAGTCTCGGGTATTCTGTTACAGCAGCACAGAGCTAGGGCACTTAAGGAAAAATGTTCATAAACATCACAGTTTAAGATACTGAATTGACTTTTATTTCTATTAGAGATGTTTCTTATTAATTAGAATAATTTTTGCAAACAAAAGGATTTAACAAGCACCTCTCCAAATGTGCACAACATGTTAATAAAAAGAGCAAAACGGTAAGATTCTGCCCAGGGAAGACCAAGCTTAGGTAGACGAGAGCCTGGTGCTGTTCCCACCGCCTGCCTCTTTCTCTTCCCTACCCTTGCACTTGGCTTCCACTTGTTCCCTCACCTTCTCTCTTAATCACTCCCCCACGTTCTTCCTCTTGTCCGCCACTGACAGTATCCAAACAGAGTCACGGACCTCAACCCCAATCGCTAATTTTTTAATGTGGCCTTTAAAGAAAAAGTCCATTTCTCTATATTGCCTTTTCCGATGCCAGCTATTCTTTAAGAAATGACTTCTCAAGTAATCTTTAAGAGCTAAAATTTCATACAGTCCCTGGTCAGTAGGTATCTTTATATTCCAAGACACTGTCAGCCACAATTACTCTCTTCAACAGCAATTGTGAAAAGTCTTACAGATAAGGTGAGTGGCTGGTAGACATCAGTCTTACTTATCTGCTCTATACTAATCTATTTATTAGTAAAATAAACATTAGCAGACTCAACTCTCAAGCATTCTAGACACTCAGTTGAGTGCTGACCACACACCTGTGCTGGGTGTATCATCCAGCACCCTCAATGTGTTTCTTTTTCTGAGCAGAGAGAGAAGTAAACATTCATTTTTTGTGACCGAAGTCATACATGTCGGTTATTCTGTCAGATTCACGTCCCTTCCATTTGAAAATTGTTCCTGCCCTGTTCCAAGTGATCGGTTAGACTATAACCCAAACAGGGGTGATGAGAACTTTCTCAGTTTGTTGACATGAGTGCTTGAGAGAGAGTCCTTCCCTCTGGTACGGTTGTCCATGGCTAACTAGTAGCGGTATGGAGAGCGTCTGAAAAATGAAGTCAATGCAGAGCGGAATGGCCAAGAGAAATCACATCCCGATGAGATCATTTGAAAGATAAACCTCACACTATTTTTCCCTGGAAGATTTCTCAGTTCCAGGATCCAATGTATCTTCTTTTGTAGTTAAACCAATGTGAATTCAGATTCTGTCACTTCTCAGCCAAGAGTCCAAATTAATACAAACGAATAATCCCAAACCAAAGGATTCAATAAGGAAACACTCTAAATATAGAAAAACACTGGATATAATCAGAACACTGATTATAATATAACACTGAATAGGGAACAGAAGATGCCGTAATGGTTATGTTGCTGGACTCCCACGTAGTTGACCATGGTTCAAGTCCTAGACTTAAAATTCACACCAGGTGTGTGTGTTGAGCACCCAGAATCCCAAGAGGAGAATGGAGGAGAAAGGATTACAACATGGCTGTCCCCCATGGGAAGTGATTTCTCGCTGGCAAGCACATGTGCCCTGTAGGAAAAAAAAAATCTCTCTCTCTCTCTCTATATATATATATATACACACACATATATAAAATACATATATATAATATGTATAAATGTATATATATATATATATATATATACACACACACACACACATATAGTCCTACATTTTTTAGTATGCAAAAAAAAAAAAATCTAAAAACCAGATCCTAAAATGAGGCACATAAAAAGTTCAAAATAATAAAAAGCCAAAACGACAACACAAACCTGGCAATAAAGAGAGTTGATGTGGAAATTAAAAAGCAGAAGTCAAAGCCAGGCCCAGTCACGTGGCACAGGCCACAGGGCTCTACTGCACAACACCTCCAGACACACAGGCCCGAGTATGGACCCCAGGTTGACCTGAACATGCTGAGCATGCCAGGAGCGCCATGGTCCTCTCTGGCTGGGAGGCTAAGTGAGAACAGAACATGGCAAGACCCTGTTAAGGGACCTCTCTGTGTCTTTCTGCCTGCCTCTCTTCAGGGAGGAAGGGAGAGAACGCAGATGCCAACCCCAGACCTTTGCTTCTTTGGTTTC